GATAAGCCACCAATTTTTTAAATCATCTCATATTTCACTTTTGCCCCAGCAAACATTTCCATGGTATTTGGGTTTGCTGATAATTTCGATTGAATATCTTGGGTGTGGCCGTGGAATATATTCTTCTATAATATATATATATATATATATATATATATATATATATATATGTTTAGTTAAAGATGACTGACAAGTTACTGCGATTAAACTTTTTGTTTTTGTTTTGAACTTAATATTAATTTGAAACTACACTAGCTAAAGCCGAATATGAATGTTATACTAAATTTGTATATGTTGATATATCATTGATATGTGTATGATCATTTGTAATATATTCCAATATAATACAAATTTATATTTTTATTTAAATTATACTTATATGTTTGTATTAGGCGATATATATATATATATATATATATATATATATATATATATATATACATAATTTTAATTTATTTTTCCCCTATATATAAATGGTCTGCTCCACTATCATTACAATATAGTAAATATTAATATTCAAATTATGCAAGGGTCAGTTTTCAATGGGTATCTGACGATTGCATTAGGCATAAAACTCAGAGTTGTGTTATATATATATATATATATATATATATATATATATATATATATATATATATATATATATATATACAAGTATAGGATTGGTGTATACGAAATAAATTCTAATGACCAAAGGCTACTATTTTAAAAAAGAGTGCTGAATACATAATATAATAAATATATCACTTGATAAGACAGTAGAAGTGTTGAAACAAAATGTCTATTTTTGTAGTGATTTTATAACATATTTATGTGATAATTTTCGAATAAAAATATATATATATAATTTATTTTATTATATATATATATATATATATATATATATATATATATATATATATATATATATATATATATGACCTGATGAATGCTTCCGTAGCTGTGGTATGACCGATTATGACTAGTTTAAACAAACTATGACCAGCTCAGACAAGCTAACACCAAATTGGACACTCCTGAAGGACCTTTTTTGCATGCAATTGTTTACACTCCCTTTATTAAAAGGACATTTAGATTAATCCTTTGCATAAACATTCTTTATACCTTGAAAGGACTAATACGGATACTTTGATATTTCTTTTCAGCACATCCTTGAAATCCTTTATCCTTTTCGCATAAATATCTTTTGTATGTAGTTTTGGTTTTACCGCCAAAAATAAAATTTGGCTTTATTTTAATCAAATACCACTGACTTGTTGTTTTGTACTCAGTTTGTTGTCAACTTACTATCTTCTGTACTATTTTGTTGGCGGACCTTTTTTTTCCAACACGCACCTAAATGCAACACGAGTAAATCGGTGTGAGAACCGTGATTGGGTTAGCTAATAAGAGCTATAAAGAAAAGGAGATCAATGATTGGCCACTTCCTGAAGTGACGCGTCACATAGAAGAAGAATATTCACGAGTTTTTAATATGTGCTTCCCGAAATCGAAAATACAGCTGAAGTGTAATATACTATATAAGGCAGAGATACTGTCGACATTGGTAATATCGATAAAAAGCATATTGATCCTAGGCTCACTTGATTGAGCGCAGATATTTTGATCTGAAGAAGTGCCAATCTAAAATTTATGTAAAGTATAATTGTGAAGAGATAAGTGGTTAGATTTTTGTCTACTGATAGGCGACACTATCAGCGGGAACCAAAGTTTTTGGATTTGAGTTGACATTAGAATTTTGTGACAAACACCCTGGCACTGACGACAAACAGATTAATTATACGGGCAGCTGTTAAAGAATTTAGAAAACCATCACATAAAAGATCAACAGTGTGTGCATTGTGAGTTATTGAAAACCGTTAAAAAAAGTGAGAGAAAATCTGAAGTATGTTGGCCGCCATTCTTGCAAAAACCGAAGTCGATTATAAAAAAATAAAACAAAAATAAAATGGGTTGTGTTGTACAGACAGACACTGCAACCTGAAAGAATCACTGTTTTTTTTTAAATTTCTTTCCATATTGCAATAGATTAGACGTTTCCAACCTTTTTTACCCAATGAACCCTTTTTGACATAAAATGTCATTACTTTCACTTTTCAAGATTTTCCGACTCAAAAGGTGCGTTCCAAATAATATGGAAAAAACTTCATTCTTTTCCATATTAGTACATATACATTTACAAGCATTATTTTTATAGAGAAGTTTTACAGAATTTATAGCTTTTATCAGTGATTTGTTTTAATTGATAATTATTAAGTAAACTGAAGCATACGTCAATAAACAAAATATTCAATAAAATTTTAGGCTACTGTATGTAATTCAGTAAACAAAATTATGTAAATAAACAAAAAACAAAAAAGCAATAAAAAGTAATGGATTTCCCCCCGAAACCCAGAAATCCCCTGCTGGGGGAATCTCACCTCAGTTGAGTATCCTTGCTATATATCAAATATTCCAGACAACGTAAACATATTTTCTTAAATTTTATACAAGTTACTATTGGTATCCAGTTTGCTGCGTAAATTCATAGTAAAATGGGAATCAAAAGAAAATATGCTCATACAAGATTATGTTTTTGCTTTTTTTCTTTTATGACCTGAGCGTCATAAATTTTGCGTTGTATTTTTATTTTTAAAATATATTTTTTTTATCTATTCCATGCCTATTGTGAATTTACATATCAGATTTACCCAAAACTGTGAAAAAAATATAATTCGATATCAGGAGTGCACAGTCGATAGTAATATAGGAAGAACGATTTCGAATTCAAATTTTTTCAAATTTTAAGAAATCACATACTATGGGTATAGTACTTTCGACTATACATTCAGTCATCTTCACATCAATAACATATTTAAAAAATATATTTCGATTCGCATTATATTTTTTCGTCTCGGATGCTACCTGAATTTTACCAAAAACAAAATAATTTTCATACCTGAAGATGACTGAATGTACAGTCGAAAGTAATCGCTTGTTTAATAAAGACCTAATACAGCTTCTAACTTTAAAAAACAAGGATCATAACATACATCGATTCATTAGTAAGTTAACGCATCTTTAAAATTTTGTTAGCGAAGGGATTTCGCCATTTTATATCATTAACTTTACTAATTTACTTTTTGTATGAATGATTCATTGTAATATATATATATATATATATATATATATATATATATATATATATATATATATATATCAGTGGGTGTGTATGTATGTTCGTTCTTTTTTATCAACATTCACGGAACAAATAGCCAGAAATAAATTTGCCAGCAGTAGGGAAGAGCTTGTAAAATTCTTTATGGTTTTAAGTCATTGCATAACCAATCAGAAAGCAGCAAATGTGTAGTTATAGTCAAGAGATGGTTACCCCGTACACACACACACACACACACACACACACACACACACACACACACACACACACACACACACACACACACACACATATATATATATATATATGATGATTTTAACATTTTTAATCAAACGCAGATGATAGTGATGTGATACATACAGAAGTTATTAAGTACATTATATTTGCACCCAAACTGTCATCCAAGAAAATTAAAATCCTCGAAAGTGTTAACATAGTTTTATATCTTTTTGAAAAGTCGCCATTAGCTTTAAATGTCGTGCATTGATAAATAAGATGATTATGTTGAAAAGAAATATATCATATAAAATAAATGTTTTTTTTTGTTCATTCTTAGGCTACGCATTTGGTATCGTACTTAATGTTATGACCATGTGTTCAAATTCTCATTTTTATTGGTTACAAGTCAACGTAGATTTTTCTTATGCCAATATCACTTCTGATACTAAACAATAGTTATGTCTGTATTTTGCTAAAATCACGACAGCCGATATTGGTTTGTGCACAATCGTGGCCTTTTATCAAAGCTAAAGGTAAGCCAGCAACAATAATATTCACAGATTCAAATTCGATTAAAATAACATGAATATACCATTATGTATTTCCTTTATACATATTTGCGATAAAAGAGCACACGGTCGATTAGTTAGTCCACGTCTGAATCTCAATAAGTGACCTTGATAATATAGGTTTGTTGAGACGATCCCAGCGTGCGGTAAATGAATTGGTTAAAAACCATACCATAGTTTCCCACAAGGGTTGTGAAGAAAATTGGGTACACAATATTGTTCAGAACTCGCTGAAGGCGACGCTTCTATGAAGACACAGGTCATGGTGCCCGTCGGTTTAAGTCTACTGGCCGTGTTCAAACCATGAATCATGCCTCATTATGCGCTCTCGACCAGAGACTGTAAATAAGGTCCGCTCGCTATAGTTAAAGGATACACCATGGTTTGGCTCTGTGGTAGTTGAAGGAACATAAATGACTGAGAAGGTGTCTGTAACAGGGAAACGTGCTGCCAGTTATTATTATTATTATTATGATTATTATTATTATTATTATTAACAATATAATATAAATAATGAGTTAAAATATTGTTATAATTCATGTATTATTCGAACCAGTATTTTCAAACTTTGATTTTACAATAACGTTGTATTAGTGAAAATTCTCCGTTGATGTATTGGGAATATTTTACAATATTATCTGGAACATTTTCAGCTTTGTTGTTTTAATGTTACAATAACTAAATCCATGTCCTCATGGGGCTGGAAAGGTCGAGCGAATTAAGATTTTAAATCTGAAACCTGAATGAGAGTTCTTTCCCTCTGTAAATATTAAGATGATTGCGAAGTAGTTGCAATTGATTGATTCGTTTTTACGATTCCTCAATCCTTTTCAGGTCATTTAAAGCCAGAAAATATTTTTAGATTATAAGATTTTTTGAGATAATAATGATTCAATGATACAAGCGTTACTAATTAAGAGGAGAAGAGGTGTATTCATATATTTCCCAAAGATATTGGCGAATAAGTAAGCGTAAGGAACTCGACTGGTATTCGAACACGGCTCTCCGATTAAAAATTCAGAGCCATTGTCCATTAGAAAACCCGCACATCCAAGCTTACAGCACCTCGTATTCACAAACGATCACCCATCTAGGTACTGTCAGGCTCGACGTTGCTTAACTTCGATGATCGTACTGGAACCGGTGTTTCTGTGTGATACGGTCGTGATCGTAAAGCAGCTGCAAGTTCACTATGCTAGTTTTATATTCGACTATTTAATAGAGGAAACATTTCTTCTTCTTCTTCTTCTTCTTCTTCTTCTTCTTCTTCTTCTTCGTGGCATGTCTCTTCAGGGCGTGGGCAACCATGCCTCTAATCATTTACGTTCACTCAGCACCTCTAGTTCTTCTTGTGTAATCCATTTACGCAAACTCGTTGAATAGGTTACCCACTGTTTCTCTTCGTCCCTCTCACCTTCAATATATTTCGAAAGTGTCAAATTCTCCAAGCACTCTGTCCTCATTTTGTGTTCTAGAAATTTCAATTGTCTCCTTGGTCACATGTTCCTTTTACACCATTCTCATCATCCTTCTGTAGAACCGTGTGTCTGCTTCCTTATGTCATCTCTTCATTTATAATAACATTGCTCAGTATTCACTGCTATATAAGAGAATTGATATTATATAGTATAGCACTTTTTCTTTGTTTCTAATGTAATGATTTTGTTTCTTGATACTTTGCTTAGCTTTCGGAAGGCATCTTTCTCTATTCCAATGCCTCTTCAGTTTCGCTGTAATATCTGCTAATTCCCTGATAATTACATTTTTGTACTTCTTTTAGTCGGATTCTAATCTCTAATTTGTAACTCGCATCTTGAGCTGTTCTACTTGCTAACGACCATATGTTCTGTCTTGATGGTTAATTCTCCAACTACTAGAACATTAAACATATTTTTCCCTTTATGTCTGTTCAAAAATCTTCGTACGAGACACAGCTGTTGACTTTCAAAACTATCGTTTATTATTACGTGACATATTCGCATGAAACTCAAGATATAAAAATCCTCTTAAAGAAAACAAGGCAAGGAATGTTTGCAATTTTACAGTTTGTTGTAACAATCGTTGATTTACATTACATTTTTGTATTCCAATGTTTAGATATGGCCTAATACAGGAGCGTATTTGGCGTGCAGGGCAACGGAAAGAGAAGCGAGGTTATGTGAGAATATTCACTAGCATCATTATTTCGTATCCGATCACAAGAGTTAAGCAAAAGCGAATGATGTTGCTACACGGATCGCTGATAAATTATGTATACAGGTTACAGTGCCGTTTGAAAGCACGAGTTGCTACACTGGGACGTTATTTAGAAAACGGAACGTATCACCAAATATTTCACACTAATATTTCTCGTAAAGGCATAAAGACAGACAAAGTTCTGCCGACCTGCATTTAAAGATACTGGCCACAGACACATCATGATGGCACCAGGAAAGACATATTGTGTGATCATATCGGCAATCCAATCGATCATTGATTATTTATCGGTGAGAAAGCTTCGCGTTGTTACAAAGTAAGTTATCAGTTGTGACAAATAAGTGTGAAAGCCGGCCTTAAGTGTATATACTCATACTTATATACTCAAGTAAAGACACACACGCACACACTCATATATATATATATATATATATATATATATATATAGATAGATAGATAGATAGATAGATAGAGGGAGAAAGAGAGAGATTGATTGATTGATTTGTGTTTTACGGATTATCAACCTTAAGGTTATTTAAAACCAGAAAATATTTTAGATTGTACTAATTTGGGGGAGTTAATAATTATTTACTGATACAGGTACAACTCTTTAAATTTTCAGCTGAAGAGGAGGGTTCATAACTTTCCCAATGGTATTTGCGCATATGTAAATATAACAAGTCCGACTGGAATTGGAACTCAACACTCCGATTTCCAATTATGAGGTGTTATCCATTACACCATAAGCACATACAAACTTACAGCAACTGGTATTTACAAGTGATCGATCATCTAATTTACTGACTAAGGTCAACGTTGCTTAACTTCGGTGATCGGACGAGAACTGGTGTTTGAACGGGATTGAAAGATCAGATGTGTATCGTTTTTTTTATTGTTTAGCAAACAGATTTCCGTTGTGAATCACTGCATTTGAATATATATATATATATATATATGAAGAAATATAGTCTTAAGATGTGCTATATTTAGTGCTGAATATCAGAGATAGAGCGTGTGTAAATATAAAAGTGAATATAGAAGTAGATAGTCTGTTTCATGCTAGAAGCAATCGTCAGGCCATATGTATATATACACTATTTACATTGCTCGTACTATCATCCTCATCTTTGTTGCCATATTTAGCACAACTATTAGCACAATTGGTTTAACAGAAAAAATACAATAAATACACGGAGTACAAAAATATTATTGGAAAGACTAGGTTCCATCTACAAAAATCATTAAACATTTTTCGCCTGATTGAACAAAGGGTTTCAGACCGCACTTGTAAAGGAACATAATTTCTTAAATGCCTCACTGTCGCCACTGCTGAAACACATTACATACAACGTGTTCATATCCATTGTTTTGTCTTACGTGTCAAAAAAGAAAAGAAGCAAGCCAAAAAATGTATTATTGATGAGAAGTTGTTAAGAGGACACTATGATTCTTGAATACAGTCTTCATTGTCCACACTTTCTCCCCCTCAACTCTTTCTCTCACCATATATATATATATATATATATATATATATATATATCATGAGACAAAGTGAAAATTTCCGAAACGACGCGTTTACGAGCGTCTGTTGTGCTCTTATTCCTCAGTTTGGAGTGAAAGACAAAACTTTGCGTTAGATCTACTTGAAGTAGACTGATTTAAAATCTAACACCAACGGCTCTAATATACAGGGTGCAATGCCTTAACTTCGGAATCTCTTGCAACTCTTCTGGACGGTTTCCTTGTTTAAGAGTCATGTTGCCAGGGAGAGGTCTTCAGCAGCCACCCTTTTGAACCAAGTCAGCACTAAATCCTCAAGGCACTTGACGTAAGCCTCTATATTGAGTCTGAAGCCGTCAACAACAAATTCGGAAGTTCTTTTCTTATCAGAATGATCAGAGTGAATTTTCCGAGCTGGCGTACCTTCTTAAACACCATCAGATTCATCCAACTCTTTCCGAATCCTTTTCACAGTCACCCACACTGACAAGTTCGTATTGGAGATTCGGGTGCGAAATACCAAGTAGTACAGCATGCTGTTTCCAAATTTATGGCGGCGTGAATTGCATCATACACGATGCCCAACTGACTCTACTGAGCAGTCGACCAAATCAAAAACAAACAACACGCATATATGAAATGGTGAAAATTTACCCATAGCACGCTACGTATTGTTAAAATTATATATATATATATATATATATATATATATATATATATATAGTGTTAAAACTTTAATATGGCGACAATTTATTCATCGAACACTAGATTAGGGGAAGATTGCATAATAACAATGATTGAGAGTTGATGGATATAAACAGTATAAACATCGATATAATTTCTGCAAAATTATTTGGTTTCTATAGTGATCAATAAAATATCTGATGATCATTTAAGGCCCGAAATTGATTCACATGTCCACACTATTTATAATTATAGGCGATCTATTTTGGATATGAAGCCCTCTTCATACAAATATACAAATAGCAAATTTCAAACAATTCTCTCTCTATTTATATATATATATATATATATATATATATATATATATATATATATATATATATATATATATGTTTATGTACATATAGATATGCAAACATAATTATATATATTTATATATAATTATATTTATGTTAATAATTATATTTATATTAATTATATATATAATTAATAATTATATTTATATTAATTATATATATATATATTTATATATATACAGATATATACATATATATTTATGTACATATAGATATACAAACACACACACACACACACACACACACACACACACACACATATATATATATATATATATATATATATATATAAATATATGTATGTAAGTATGTGCAAAAGAAGACAAGAAAGTCAAGTGAATGTTTGCATCTTGACGAATATGCGGAGGCAGAAATACAGATAATAAGAGAATGTTGGCATGATATGATTCTCATGAATGTCGACGATTGCATCGCTTCTGATCTAATATAAACAATTTTTGATGTATTAGGCAATGAGTTATGCTACTTTTCACATAAAATTCCTAACCTGGGTGGCAAGATTTGAAAGCTATGTGACCATATATATGCGTATGTATATATATATATATATATATATATATATATATATATATATATATATATAGATAGATAGATAGATATAGATAGATAGATAGATACATATATGTGTGTGTGCGTATGAGTAAGCATCTTTGTATATTAATATCGCAAACTATGAGCATACATATATACATACATATATATATATATATATATATATATGTGTGTGTGTGTGTGTGAGTAAGCATCTATGTATATTCATATCGCGACCTACAAGCATATATACATATATATATATATATATATATGTAGATATATATATATATATGTATGTGTGTGTGTGTATGTGTCTATGTGTGTGTGTCTGCCCCCATTATGTTTATGCAACAAATTTTCTGCGTCCAGAAATGCGTATGATTTTTATATATATATATATATATATATATATATATATATATATATATATATATATATATATGTGTGTGTGTGTGCGCGCACGTTTGTGTTTGTGTGCGTGTGTGCATGTGTGTCTGTATGTGTATGTGTATGTGTGTGATAGAGACAGAATGAAAGAGAAATTGGACCAATGATTTTGGTTTTTATTCCAGTCAAACAACAGACAGCGCTATATATACAGGATACGATGGATAAATTTTCGTCTAAATTACGGAGAAATGAAAATAAAACCGACATTTAATTTTAACAGATATGTTTACCAAAATTACACAAAATATCTTGAAATACTTAAGACTAAGTTTAGTCAATAAAAACGCCATTGGCTTCACCATGTCCTCCAGACGACTTCGGAATCTTATGCATCTCTTCTGGAAAGTCTCTTTGTTAAATTGGTAAATGCTGCCATAATTCTTGCCTTCAGTTCCTCTTTGGTGTTACAAGAGGTTTTATTTGT